CACTACCAATGTTTGTGTACGTATAAAGGTTGTTCAGTAGTGGGGCTTTCTAGACACCAGTTAAAAATGAAAACTGGCAGATGATCTCAATAATGAATAGCTCTTTCCTGATAACAGGAATATAAGCTCTTCAACTGCGAAAGTATTGTAAACATACACAAAGTTTCTAAGAAACTGTGATTGTGGAGAAAGAATGGCTAAAAGTTTCCTTTAGTTTTCTTTCTTTGAAAGGAGCACATCAATATGTCTATTTACTTTAGTCAGGGACAACGCACTCTTAGGCAACCTACATAATCCTTCCTTGCCTTTCGTAAGATTAGCAACAAAACATACAGGATTATGAAGACATGATCTATATTGTAATGTATTGGTCCAAATTCCAGGCTGGCAGGTTCCATGGATCTAGTTTAATAACCTAATGTTATATAATCTCTCTATAAAAGTTTTATCCAAGGACAAGTTCAAATCGTTTTACCATAGGTGTAGGAGAAAAACGTCTTGGCAGAAGAAACAAATCCAACTACCCTCGGGGTGCAGTAGGTGAAGGGAATGCTGGCAGGAGTCAGTAGGTGAGTGGATGGCAAACTGCAAATACTGAGTGGGACCCCATCCAGTGAGGAACAGGACCCTCATGTGGGAATGTAGGCCCTGTATGATCATGGCCTACCTTTTCTTAAGAGAAGATATCTGGATTTCCATATAATATATCCATGCTGTTAATGTTGGTTTGAGAAAAAAAGTAATGTTATTTGAGACAAAATGAAAAGTCTTTTTCTGGGTCTGGTTTCACACACCTTTAACCCCAGCACACAGGAGATGGAGGCAGGTGGATCTCCGTAAGGTTGTGGCCAGCCTGGTCTATATAGTGAATGCCAAATCAGTTGAGGCTACAGGGAGACTGTCTCAACAACAACAACAACAAAAAGTCTTCTAACAGATTTTTCTAGACAGTTACAAGTTTGTAACTTCCAGAAAGTAAGAGAAGATAGAAGAAAGCAATTGCTCATATTTTAATGCATCCTTTAAACAATTGGCATATTTCTCAAAAAATGTTAAGGCATGAGAATTAATTTGAATTCAACATTCTTCCTAGAGTGGCAGAATGCTGCAACAAAATAACCGGTGGCTTATAGAATGCCTTAATTATTTCCAGATGTATTGAGAACTTACCTCCTTGTTCTAGGCAATATATAGGTTGGTAAAAATATAAAGATACACTGTCTTTGTTTTCCAAGCTTAAAGACTAATGTAGAAAGAACTGTATCAAGTGTTTATAATACCGTGTGTTAAATAACGCCTACCATAGAGATATGCAGAAATCACAAGAGGAGGAGGAGGGACAAAGACACTCTTCTTCCCAGGTGATGGAGAAGGATTCCCAGAGCAAGACCTCTTCCAGGAGCGTTGTATATAAAGGCACAGATAATTTGATTTTTATCTTAGAAAAATAGGAGCGTATTAAAGAACGATGCACAGGGAAGCAATATGGTCAGACTGTCTTTCATCATATGCCTACAGTATAGAATTAGATCTCCAGGAGGAGATAGAGAAGGCAGTAAAAAGCCACAAGACAATAATGTCAACAATCCAGTCCACTGGGGAGCAGCAGGAGCATGAAGCAAGGCTATGTGCTTGGAAAGATAGAGGGTAGAAATGAAAGAACCTGATGCCCAACTTAATACTAGAGGGTATTGTAGCAGAATAGAGGGGAGAGTTCAGACGACGCCTCGCAGGACTCCTCTTGAGAGAAAGCTTAGTGAATAAGGAAGCAGAAGAATCTTTGGAGCCAAGTGACTTGAGTTCAAATTGTATCTCTGACACATTTATTTTATTTGTCATTTTTATTTTATGAGTGCGAGTGTATTGCCTGCATGTAGGTAGGTGCAGCCATATCATGCAATGCCCATGGAGGTCAGAAGAGGGCACTTGGAGCCCCTGGAACTAGAGTTACTGACCACATGGGTGTTGGGAATTGAACCTGGGTCCTCTGCAAGAGCAATCAGTGCTCTTAACCACTGAGTCATCTCTCTCCAGCCCTCTTACACTTGTATTTTATGAGTTTTAGGCAAGCTGTTTGTCCTCCCTGAATCTCTTTTCGGTACATATGCCAAGTGATCTCTTGAAGCATATACATTCGTGCCTAAAACATTATCATTAGTAATTATTGTGATTCTGGTTAGGATGGTGACATTATTTGGTGTGTTTGCTTTAGAAAACCAAAAGTTCCATTTGATGTGCTTTTAGATGGGTTCCACTGTATAATGGTGAGCATTCTGGATTCTGGTGTGCATTTAGAATATTCTAGGTTGTATAGATAAATATGCGGTTCTCAAGTTGAGAAGAAATTTTCATTAGCATACTAACAATGGCTAGAGTCTTTTATGCAGATGAAATTTTCTATGATGCTTTCAAAGAAGGTGGGTATGTTTTGAGTCTCTAGTGTTTGACAGGAAGAGTTGGAGGCAGCAGTTCATAAGAGAAGGCCAGACAGAGAATGTACCTTAAATACAGAGACTATAGGGGTCTAGGAGTACAACCCACATATGAAATGCTTCAGAGGAGTCAGATGTGCTAAAAACAGAATAGCATCTCTCTCTTATACTCACAGGAAATTTTTAATAAAATAATTTAAATGACTTTTCAGTGTTTGATATTCATGTTTTTCATTGCCTTTTCAAATTTTAAATCCTTTTCTAGAGATAGAATATTAAAAGCAATCTCTAGATGGAGTCATAGAGAGTTTTGAGATTCATGGGTTAAAAGACATTGACTTGGATAATTTCTTATATTTGGTGCTATAAAATGATTTAACAACTGCTTTGACTAGCAGTACAGTTAAAGAGAGTTATTTCTGTTGTTTGAATTATGGTACAAGAGCTAAATTCCTTATTTGTTCTAATTTTCCAAAAGAAACAGGACTGGTGATTATCACCAATAAAATAGGAAGCAATGGTATCTATTCTGCATCATACTGTAGCTGCTTTTCTTTTTACTTTAACTTTGAGTCTAAAAACTTCAGGAATGAAACTTGACTATAGAACTAATTTTAAGAGAAAGATATTCAGATCTTTACAAAGACACATCTCCTCTTATGAATAACATTGGCATTATGAAAAGTCTGGTTATTTTGGCAATACAGACCATGAAGTGAAAATATTGAGCATATTGGCTTTGGAATCAAGACCTCACTCCACCACTTCTCGGGTATGAGGTCCAGGGAAACTGCCGTGCCCATCTAAGCCTCTACTTCTTCTTATGGAAAAGACACTGCTATCTTGGGATTCTTTTAAATAATGGGACCCGCAGAGGTAGAAAAATTTTGAGACAAAATTGCATTTAAAGAATAGATATGTTTAGAAGAATTTATCTTTTCTTATAACAGCAAAAATCTTTTAACTCTTCCTAGCAGTATAACTGTTCATTTACAGGTCACCTTCCAGGAGACTCAGAAGTCAGATCCATACAATCTGAGAGCTAAATAAGCTTCATGCTTCTCATCACCTGGGGACCTACCAATAGGCTTCTCTAACCAAGGAGGCACATGACTCATAAAGAAAACTCCCTCAGAAGTTAAACTGAGTAAAGTACCAAAGGCTTACAGATAAGCTGTGTCCTAACAACGCACCCAAGGGAATTTGTCATATCCCAACTTGTCTTGCTCACTGAGCATTTCCCCAAAACAAAAAAGAAATATTGCTAAAAATCACAGTTCTCATTCATTTTGCATTAAATTAAAGCAAAGTTAAACAATGACACATGCCAAAACTATCTGGTGAAAAAAACAAACCTCTTAAGTTCATCACCTAAATTTCCAAATGACATGATGGTGTTTCACCTGAAATTTAAAAATCACATAAAAGCAAGGCTGAAAATAACCCAACCTCTTAGTAACTTTGCATTTTTAAAAAAGATTCCTGTGCTTTGCTATTGGTGAAATGGTTATTTAAAATTCAACACAGCACTAAGCAGTAAAATTGGATCCCATAAAATATGATAGTATTGTGAATCTTAAAGTAAAGCCCCCCAGTACAGATGTTCTCACTCAGATTAAAAACACAAATACACAAACCAGTTTGTTCAGCTACAGAATAATTTCATTAAAAGCATGCTTATAATTTGAACAGAATAAATAATAGTTAAATCCAGGGAGGTAGTGAAGCTACAAGGAAATATAAGCCCACAGAGCCTCTGCCAAGAAAACTGTTCCAAAGATTTAAGGCTGGGAAATTGAGAAATCAGTTCCTCCCTGGCTACAGGTAGAATATGAATACCTGAACCAAAACCCTTGATGCATATATGCTTAAAGAAAGCACACACACACACACACACACACACACACACACACACACTATCAACTCTGCTTTGAGAAAGTTAGTCTGATTTCTTACCATGTTACATTTCTCATTGAGACATAAATGTGGTAGGAAATGTGATACAGACGTAAACAGGCACACACAGCACAGCGCGAGCTCTGAGGACATATGGGATTCTCTTGGCAAATAATGATCTTGGCAATAAGCCTTCTTTATGTACAGAAAGCTTTGTTCCCTGCTTATAACTCCCAAGGCTACAGCAGGTAATTGTGTGCTGATAATTAGGTTCAAAACCTATTATATTCAAAACAGGAAATGTTTTATAGTTTGATTCAATGAAAGTAGGAAATCGTGTCAGCATGATCAAGTTATAAAAGCTCATTTTCCCACAACCACTGATCATTTACTCTGAACCAGCATGAACTTAAACATTGCAAATATGTAATATCATTCCAAGGTGGATGTTTAATTATCTAATTGTTAGAAGAAAAAAAAATCAAGCAATTTTAAAAGCACTTAGGAAAATTCTTACCCAGAAACAACTACTCTGTTTATTTTCCTAAAATTAATATCCATTTAAGTATGCATTTCATTTGCTAGACTGTCACTCCCAATCACAATACTCTTCCAAGAAGCAATGTGACATCCATTCTGCATAAAACTGCAAGCCCCAAATACTGCACTTACCTTGTGTCACCTGTTGAACTGCCAGCATTACCCCAGACACAGTGTCTGGAATCAGATTTTCTTTCAGATTGTACTGTGGTGCCCATTCCAAAATAGGTAGCCGCCTTTTACACCACTGCTTAATGTCTTCACAGTGGGGGGTGTGCATCTTGCTCCAGAGTATGCTTTTCCTTTTCCTCTTTGCTCCCGTCATTTTTCAGATTCCCTCCTGTAGCAGTCAACTTCCCCAGACAAGGGGGAAACACTGGTGCAGAACACAGTGCTTCAAAGCCAGGCTCCAATTCGTCTGTGGTTTCTAATGTCAAAGCTAACCAGAAAATAAGTAAGTGAAGGAGAGAGGGGGAAAAGAATTGGTTTCTAATGTCAAAGCTAACCAGAAAATAAGTAAGTGAAGGAGAGAGGGAAAAGAATAGAGGAGGGGGGAGAGAGAGAGAGAGAGAGAGAGAGATTAACAGAAATCCACATTGATACAGCTGAGCTGTATGCCTTATTATGGTTCAGCTAATTATTCTAGATAAAAATTATAGACTAAAACCTTGAATTCTTATCTGAATGAGGAATGATTCCTGTTAGTGTAATATTTTCCTGATCTTGGAGAAGTAATGGGTAAAGTGGTAAGTTGGTTACAGCTCTCTCGCCAGTAATTCCCTTTATATTCACTGTAGTCTTATGTTTTTGGCTGCAATCCCAATGGTTAATGAGGTAGTTCTGGGCGTGTATTGGAGGTGGGCTGGGCTATGCTAATGAAACCAGGAAGCTTCTAGCTAGTCCCAGCTTTCCCTACAAGCTAATGCTGAATTATAACTGCCAAAGGGATCTGCTGTAGACAATATATTCAGAGATTCCAGCCATACTTTGAGAAGTGTATGTCTTCAACATAACTGAAAACTGCCAGTTCCACAAACTCCAGACAGGATACGGTACTACATAAGTCCTTGTCATTGTATTCTCTGGGATATGAAATTTTCATTCATAGGAAAACATTAAGATAGCTACTGTTCCCTGTGAGAAAGGGCTAGCTAATTCTTATAAACAAACTGAAATTTTATCCCCCAGGCTAAGGAAATAAGCACCACAATGAACAAATACTTGTGGCTAGAGTTTTTCCCAGTCTCTCAAGCTGTCCCTTCACTCTTCTTTAATAGTTTCTCTAAAATTTTAATTAACACACTCATGCCATTGTAAGTGAAATCTACTGAGGAATAAAGTAGCATTCAAACTCTGGTTTGAAGTGGTCTTCACTTCCACGTGCGAGCGTGCATGTGTGCACGTGTGTGTGTGTGCGTGTGTGTGTGTGTGTGGGTGTGTGTGTATGTCTATGTGTGTTTGTGGGTAATACTATCCTCTGTTGGTGCAACTTTTAGCAGGCTGTTCTTCTTTTAAGAAGGAGCATTATATTTTATAATAGAATAGACAGATTCTCAAAGATTTTTATTGTATTATTGTTTCGTTCAGCCTCCCCAAGAAAAAGCCTGCATTATCATCTGCACCATTTGAATTGACTCCCGGGGCCAATATTCTAACTAAAATTGTGATGCTAGGAAAAAGGATATCATGAATATAATTCACTGCAATATATTTTTTTTATGTCCATGCACTTTCTCCCACTATTTTTAAATTAAAGTGAAGAGCTACTTTTTCAGATGTACAAAAAGTCACTCCTTACTTTTTATCTATGCAGCAATATTTTTATCAAATTCAATGAATCATAAATATATACATTTTATTTGTATCTGCAGAATAGAATTTCCTTATATTTTCTAATATTTAAATCATATTAAATGTCTAATTATGCAATAGTTCAGGGTCAAGGTTTATAGAGAAGAAATCTCATCAGGCCTGGGGATATAGTTCAGTGGTGAAGTTTATGCCTGTCATGTGCTATGCCTTTGGTTCAAACACTAGCAAAAAAGAGACAGGAAAGAAAGAGAGGGAATGTCTCATTTAGAGAATAATTTGTAAACTATAGCATTTTAACCCTCTTATCTTGGTATAGACACAGGTTCTAAAGACAAATATAATTTCATTCAATAGGAAGGCTGTGTTGGGTTTCTTTCACCAATGGGAATCCTTAACTTCATTTTAAGTACTCTACTCAGTTTATAATAACAAAGAAATTCAGGAGCTACACATACACTGGTTGTATATTATTTTCTTAATTTAAAAAATTAAAAATTTAAAAAATATATCTAGATCATAAATTCAAACCTATGCTGGCAAAATGAAAAAAAATGAGTTTCATTAAAATCAGCAATCAACAGCTATTATTTGTAGAATATTCATCATTTTGAAATTTCTGTTAAATCTTTGTCGCTATTCACAGAAATAGAATTTTTTCATGAGTAAATCTAAATATTTTTAAACAAAGAGGAAGGAGAGACATGGGTCTCTCATCAAACAATTCCTTAGCATTAAAATAAATATTTCCTGAAAATCTTCTTTTCTGAAATTCAAATCTAGAACTCCAGCTCCATGCTTTTTGTAATCCCGTGTGCAGGCACATTATTTAAAGCCTGCCAAACCTCACCCCAGAACATGATATCTTTCTTATTTATAATCAGCAACACAAAACAAAGAAAGCTTTATGAAGAATTTCTTCACACACATGAAGTCCTCAAAGTGATTTGGCCAGCCCACAGGTTTCAAGAAGACTAACACGTTTATTTGAAAGTTTCAATGACTAAAGAGCTTAAAGTTCAGTACTGTATACCACCCATATGTGACACCTCTTCCCTGAATGTCCAGTGAACACCTATAGAAATCAAAAGATGCTCTGATTGTCTTCCACTTCACACGTGGACCCACAGGAAAGTTCTTCTTCCTAAAACATCATTTTGATCACATCATTAACATGCTTGAATTTCTGATATCACCAACATTAAACTCAAACTTATTATCAAAAATAATGTGATTCTTTTCTGCTCCCCTCCCCACTCTAACTTGCCATAAACTCTAATTCATCAGGTTTGTACTAATGTCATAATTCTCCAAATTCTGTGTGAAGAACTGTGGAGGAGAGGAAAGGTAAGGGTAGGTATGTCTATATTCTAGAAGTTATTTGATGAAGGAAATGAGAAGCTGTAACTTATTCCAGGCAATGTGGAGTAAACTAGTAAGTCATACAAGGGATGATGTGGAAGCTGAAAGTGTGGGTACTTCTTTACCAATGAGGGAAGAAAAGGCTTCCCTTCCCGGCTAAGCCCAGTGACACAGCAGGTAAACACTGCCTGCCTGCCACATATTGCTCCCATTCCTCAGTCTCTCTACACCTAATTCCCTAGTCACGTGGTTTTTCTTTTCCACCTTCTAAACATATACTCAGTATCTGCTTTTTGATGAAACTTTCCCACGATCTCCAGAACTCTGGTCAAACTGTATCATCAACATTCTGGTAACCCTCACGGGGCAGAGCTGGAGCCATTTTCATGGTTTATTGTTTTGCTTGCTTTACATCTATTTCATGTCTTTATATTCCATCCCACCCATATTGTAAATTCCTTATGAGGAGGGCTTATTCGCATAACCTTATCTCTTCACTTAGGATCTAGTAGAAGAAACTGAAATATAGCATTTACCTGATACGTATGAATGCATTAGTCCTCCTGAAATGTCCCGCAAATCACCTATCATGCCCCATGATTTCCCTATTGTGTTCCTAAAGAATCAGAAGAACTAGAGACAGTAGAGGGAAATAGTCTTCATCTTTGACGACTAAACTTCTCCCTGTCCTTTCTCAGTCTAAGTTCTTTTTAAAAAACACAGGTCTTTTTCCTTATATTATAGAGACTGGAGGAAGGACAAACTGGATGAGATGTGCAAAAGAGAGAGATGGTACAAGAGATGATGCTGCAATCCTCATGGACAGAGGCGTCACTGACTGAGAGGCTGGCACAGGAGAGCCTTTGGGGTATTTACGAGGTGTATGGGAATTGAGCCAGGCTTGAGTGAGGTAAGAGTCTTTCGGGAAATATTAAGCAAGTTATAAATTTGATCTTATTTAATGGTTTTTGAGAGACACAAATAAAGACTGACATTCTCGGTAATTTTTGAATTAGGCATGATGCTTTGCTTGTGCAGGAACTGGGGCATCTAAAGCACTGATTTATATCCAAGTTACATTTGGAAATATAGACTCATAAACCCTGGGTAACATCAATTCCTAACTCATATCTACTTTGTGAAGTTATTCTACAGCATTTATAATAAAAGGTACAAGGTTTCCATCTACAGGGAAAAGAAGAAGCTAAGATGGAAGCCTTTCTCTGTTCACTAGTCTGCACAATGGGCACTGGGATGGATACACACAGAAGAACAACTTTTACTAAGAGTACCACCCCCTGATGTACACAAATTTTCATACAGTTTGGCATGGGCTTGAATACAAACTCAGTTTTAATTCCTCCAGTGACTGAAATTAACAAACTTTAAAAAACAGCCTCTTCCAATTTGGGGCTACAGAGATGGCTCAGGCTGCTCTTCCAGAGGCCCCAGGTTCCAGTCTCACCACCCACATGGTGACTAACAACCATATGTAACTCCTGGGATCCCACACCCTTTTCTGGCCTCTGTGGGCTTCGCACAACACGGATATGCTTAAATACATACAGGCAAAACACTCATATGCATAAAATAAATAAATGGGGATCAGCAGTTAAGAGCACTGGCTCTTCTTGCAGAGGATCCAGTTCAATTCCCAACACTCATACAGCGACTAACAACCATCTATAACTCCAGTTCCAGGGGATCCAACACCCTCTTCTGCAGGCATTGCACAACAGGGGCACACCTATTTACATGCAAACAATATATTAAATAAAATATTTTAAAAATAGCCTCTTCTAATTTTTAGACCTTCTGATTATTAGTACAATTTTCCTAATTTTCAAATCAAGTTCCACTAATTAAAACTTCTACTCTTTGGTCTTTATCCTAGCCTCTGTTAAATTGCAGACCTTGCCATGCTGACCTTGTTAGAACTTGAAGCTGGAATAGCACCTAGGGGTCACCCTAAATTAGAAGGCCTCAAACAATATAGGAGTCTTTTCATAGCTTTCTAAGAGCAAAACGTAGGAGGCGATTCTAAGATTCAGGACTTCTAATTCTTTTAAAGTTCTTACAATGTAAAGCAGTTTCAACCCTAAACACATGTACATATGTATATTTATAAATATACATGTGTATATGTAGCAATAATAATCAAAGAAGAGGATAAGAAATAGAGATGGGGTTGGAGGACATGGAAGGAGCTGGAGGGGTGAAAATGATGCAAATACAATACTCCTGTAAGATTAGGAACAAAATCATCAATGAGACCTCTAAATAACTTTTTATATGAACTTAAGCCTAATGTCCAGGAAGTATAATCCCTTGGACTCTTAAAGAAATATACTGATAACTTTATTTTTTGGTTATACTTTCCTTTTGGGAGTTTAAGACCCTACAGTTGGCCCAAATGAATCAATTTATTTTTACACATAACATCATTTGAGGATCTGTTCCTCAGGGGTCACATGGGCTTGGGAGGAGCCCCTGGCTCCTTTCTTTTACCAATTCCATCTATGTGAAGATAAATCAAAGGTCCTGCTTAACCATGTCTGGCTTC